AAAGATTGATTATATGAATTGGGTCTGTTTGTGTCACAATTGACTATATTCAAGCTATCTAAAATCAAATATCAAACTACAAAACACCGAGGCTTACTACTTCCATCTTAATTCAACTTATAATCTATTCTACGTTTATCAATTCAACAATACTTCTCTCAATCACAAATCTTTATAAGCAAATAATAAAGAAAACAAAGAGGTAGCACCAAACTTATCCCAACTTATGACTCTCACAATCTAGAAAGAATATATAGAAAGAATTATAAACATGTTATCCCAAAGAACAGACAACCTTTTTAACTAATAGACGCTTAAACCAAGGCATCTTATCATTACAACAATAATTTTATCTTTTCTTCTGCATACATATGGTAAAGCCGAGCACCACAACATTTCAGACTAGTAAAAATCAACACCAAAGGTACTACAAATACATATATGGGTACCTGCAACAGGAGCATCCTCCCATTCTTCATCATCGTCGTCCTCACCCTCGTCCTTGATGACCACTCCTACAACAACAGGGACATCCTCCCATTCCTCATCATCGTCGTCCTCACCCTTATTCTTGAGGGCTACTCTTGCACTGACTTCTGCAGCTACTTCAGTGCTTATATCTTGTTCTACATAACTAATCTCATTATTTTCTGATTTAGGAGGTTGAGATGCTAGGATGGCTACATAGTATGCTCTGATCAGATATTCCTCCTGTTTCACAACAAAGAACAATGATGTATGTCAAGATAGTAAAACAAAGGAAGCAATAATTCAACATATTATTTTTGAACGTTATGACGACCCAGATGAAGCCTGAATACTTTTGACAAAATTCCCTTTTTATGTATAAAATTTAATCGATTGATTAATTATTCAGTTTTTTTATATAAAAAGAAACTCCTTGTGAATTACCAAATCTTTTAATAACCATGGCTAACCTCAAAACTCAAAGCTGTGGGGAAAAGAAGTTCCAAGTTTAAACAAGAGAGTAGACAAATGTATAGATTTTATACAAAATGATGTATTTACCTCTTTAGTTTGACAATGTATGTAGGATTATTTTCTATTTGAATATTTTTTACACAAACCAATTCGAACCATCACAATAAAATTTCTAAATTAAATTAAGAAATCATGATTCTAAAGGATTAATTGAAGCTATGTTCGTTTAATTGATTTAACATATGGATGCTTGCAATTGAACGTATGATTGTTATCTTTAAAACAACTAACTTTCGGACTACAGAGAGCTTGCAACTTAGCCTTTTCCTAATAATATGCACTATTCATCAATTTCGTAATTTCAAAAGACATGTATGGTGTTTACGGGTTCATAATACTACTTCAGAATCCTAAAAATACAATGTGGCTTTCGAACACGATGACAATCTTCGTGTTATATTAAATTTCTTGTCCTTAGAGGCTTAGAAAGATCAAAATGTAATGTAGAGCATAGGATTAAGTCAAGAAATATACCTGGAGTTTTTTTTGCATGGCCTCCTTATCCTCTTCTGCAGGCTTGATATCTGCATTTGAAGTGCCGAAATTATCTTCATTCCACTCTCCCTCCAGGGCTTCTCCCCTTTGTTTAGCATTTAAATTCATGCCCTCTCGTATCATCCATGGTGGAAGTATATTTGTTGGGCCTGCGGCAGTTTCATCCTTCCCTTCATTCTTAGCGGTGCCAACCATAACAACATCCACCTGCAGTACACGTCATTCAAGTTAGCAACCAGAGTATGCCAATTAGAACATAACTATACGGGGTGCTAGAATTGAACATCGTAGATCAAACAAGAGCAACTTAAAAAAACTTCAATTGAAGGTTTTTTTTCAAGACATGGTTATAAATTAAAGGTTCTTTTTGAGTTGGCAGACACTCAACCACAAGTAACACATAAAACCCAAAAGAGCAAACTGCCTTCATTTTAAAGGCACCACCAACACACATCACTTTCTTTCGTGAATTCAAGCATTTGTACAAAAATGAACAAACTCCCTCAATTCGAAAAATACCTTTATTATTTATAATTTGAAAAGTTAGCAGAGCAATGTAGCTCTGATGTAAAATAATAAATCTGTTCTACTCTTTAGTTAAAAAATAATTTATCCAAACAGTAGTTTAGTAAGGTTACAAATTTGTACCATTTTCGAGTTACACCAAAATAAAATCTAACATATATATATATATATATATATATATATATATTTATTGCTATAAAATATACACTATATTTTGCTTTGTGAGCTATAAAGCTAAAAACGTATAATTTTAAAAAGGATTTGTTATAATTTGATTACATTACCAGCAATGTCCTCTGGAGCTCTGCAAAATCAAGGCTTTGAGAAAATAATTTATCTTTCAGATTGTTATTCTTTAAATTTATAAGGATCATGATATTCTCAATAACACCTACAATTTTTTAATGCACGTTTTAAATCAAACAGTGATATTTTAAATAAAATTAATCTGGAAAATATAAAACTTAAAATTAAAAACAATTAAGATTTTTATTTGTGAAAAATATTTGAATAATTGAACTTTTGAAAATATGTTTAAGAATATTTAAATAATTACAAATTAGTATATTTAGAGAACTATAGATGATATAGTTATTAAAGAACATATGAAAAGTGACAAATCTGTTGGCAACATACTTGAATTGATTGTCTTTAAAATTTTGTGGTTTGAGTTATTATTTCATTACAATGTAAATCTTTATTTATTTTTATGCGCTTGTTTACGAATATATATATTGAAAAAATGCACATGCATAATAGACTAATTGTGAAAAAGAATTTTTAAACATGAAAAGAAACTTTAAAAAAATGCACTTAATGCATAATTATAATTATTAATGGACCATGTATAATTAAAATACATGTATATGGATCCAAAAAACTACATCATGAAACTTTTAAATCTCTCTCATGAAAGGAAATTGATTTTTAATTCATAATTTTACTATAATGTGTTTATTTCTATGTATTACAGGTATTAAAACAATCACATTGTTGTTTCAATCATAGAATTATTTTAGGCCTTTAATAAAGGAAAATCAATTGTTCACTACTACTGCATGTACAAGTTGATAATTAAAAGCAAAACATCACAACTTTGAATATTTTAGTAATCCATATAATTACTATTGTTGTTCAAGAGATCAAAAGTTATATTAATCTCTTAAAATACAACTACATGTAATTAGATAGATTGTAGTTTTTATGCCAATTTTCGAAATAATCAAACTTTATACTTGAAAATAAATTTACCCAAAAATAATAAATGTCATTATTATCTTCCTTTTCCTGTAGAAAACACAGAGTTTCATTTTTATTTCAAATTTTATATTGGACCACCATATCAGATTCTAGTAAATGGACATTATATTGTGTTCATTTCTTACTTAAAACATTAAACCTAATTGATTTTATTGGATTTCTTTTAGATAATAAAAGATTTGAGATGCAATGTTTAACTACATTCAGGAAGAAAGAAAAAGAAAAAGAAAAAAATGGAGACAAAATATGAGTGTTTGTGCTCAGAAAGCTGACAAGAACAAAATAATTTAGATAAGTTTTTACATAAATCTTATTGAAGAATTACAATTACACATATATTTTTTTGTTATGGTAGTTTTGTGATGGTTTTAAAAATTATGCTTATACCACCAATTTTATAACAAGATACTTTGAAGAAAATTACAAAGTCTTGAGAAAGTAGAATACGTTTTGTGATTCAGTTTTTAGTACGGAGTAGAATACATTGGAAACCAGAAAAATATCGAAATTTCATTACAGTTTTTTTTTTCTAAAAGAAACTTAAATAGAAAAAATAAACATATAAATATGATAGATTTTTTCATACAATTATCAAATCAATAAATTAAGAAAATAAGTTGGATAATTTATGCCTTGCATTAATAATTGTTTAAAAAGGATCTCCTACTATATTATATACATATTAAATATAAATATATTTATAAAAATTTATATTATCAATACTTATGCTTATAGCCATGTGTCCTTTTTATTTATTCAACTGACTAAATAAATTCTGACTCTGAAATTTAAATATGAGATATCTTGACAAAATAGTTAAAACTTAATGCTTAATCCAAATACACCTGATATTAAAAACAACTCTCAGCTAGTGTTTTTCTTTTTGAAAACTATAACAGAATATATCCCTCTTTCTCTCATATATATATATATATATATATATATTTATATGTATAGTTATTGAGCATGATTTGTTTACATACCATAAACATCTTATAGCAAAATTTGTGTTTAACATGAATATTTCCACTAAAAACAATGAAAGCAAAAATCTTAAACATAAAACTAAATGACAAAGATACAATTTGTTTAATATAGCAACAAACTCAACATCAATCATAAAATAAGAAATAAGAAATAAGAAACTCTACCATATAGGATAAAATTTTAACAAAGATATAAAAATAAAAAATAAAACAACTCTAATGTAATAAAATCCAAACATCCATTCTCATTTCACACATCAAAATCAACAATTGATTTTTAAAAACTCACATATATAATATAGGAGAATGTTAGATAGACCCATTTTTTTACTAAATAGATCCATCATTGATGAAGAATATGGTAATATTGGAGAAATATGGTAATATGTGGTTGGTTTTTATTGGTTGTAGATTCAATATTGGAGAAATGAATCTAAAGGACATTTTTTTTCTTTTCATGATGGTTAGGATAAGTAGATCAATTTAGTAAAAACTTGGGTCTATTTAACCTTCCCCATAATATAAAATATGAACACATATCATATTTATAAACTAACACAACAAAAGAACAACAAAAAAACAAATGACTACGTTGTTATTAATCAAAACCGTAAAAATGCCAAATAATTAATTACTCTTCATCTTCTTACTTTGTAGATGTAGCCAAATTTTAAACTCATCGTTGTGTGTTCGCAGTGAACTAAATTTGTTTTCCCGAAGGTTTTGCAAGTTTGATTATTTGCTTTTGGCTTCGTGCCCTCGTTGTGTGTGTGTTGCTCGTAGAGGAAGGACAGTTCGCGACACCACAAAAGAGTTCGGCACACGATTGCGCTTGCCAGAGAAGGGGTTTTGTGTGTGTGTGCTGGGCGCAGCCATGGAGCTTCTAGCGCTGCTCTTCAGCTTACTTTTGTTGCCGACTGTGTTCGCGTTGCTGCTATGGCGACGCTCGCACACGGCGCGTGAGGTTAGTATGAAAATGGAACTGCTGTTTTCTGAAATTTGAGTATTCTGTATTGTATGTGCTTGCTGCGCCATTCGAAGGGATTTGTGTTTAGTTTTTGACGGTGGTTGATTGAACGAAGTTGTGAATGAGGATCGCCGGTGCCGGTGATGGCAGGAAGTCGCCAGTAATGGTGTCGCGGCTGCGCCCTCACGAGCCGCGGAGACGCGAGCCAGTACCAGGAGTCGGATGAGGCGGCGCCACACATCAGTTGCGCCTGCTGTGTCTTCTTCTGCAAGTGTGTGACGATTTGATGAATAAATTTTGATTGATGTTTTGGTGTTGTGTACGAGATGGGAGGGGATTAGAAGGGGAGATGAAGTGATTGTTGATTTCAGCATCTTTTGTGTGAGCTGCAGGTGGAGTTGGCGATGACGAGGCGGAGGAGGAGGAGGATGAAGAAGAGGAAGTTGACGGCCATTATGTTTCTAAGAAACCAGGAAAGAAGGATTTGAAAAAGAAGGAGAAAGAGGCCCGCCGGGAGGTTTGTCCTACTGCACAAACCTAAAATGTACTTTAATACCCTAATTGCTTACGGTTTGGCATTTATTTTGTGAACATTGGTATTAGTCCCCTCATGTTTCGATTTGGCATTTATGGCAAAATCCCAAATGTGATAGTTAGGTGCTTTCCATATACACTGAGCTCCCTAGTACATGTTATGGCGTTTTCTTAAAAACTTCAGGCCGAAAAAGCTGCAAGGGAGGCAAAAAGTGAAAAACAGGACAGGTATGAGGCTATGCGTCGCAAGAAAGATGCGGAGCGAGAGGAAGAAGAGCGTCGCAAGGTTAGTTCATTTATGCTCTTGAACTTTCAATCGCAATTAAAGGAGCGACTATTCCTATTGACATGCTGCGTATGCTGTTACTGACAGGCAAAGCTGTTGAGCTTTAGGTCTACCTGGGAAACCTTTTGTTTGAGAGTTGAAATCAACACTAATCCTGTTTCAAGTCTATTTTCTTTACACTGCATCAGACATCATTTTATTTTTCATCTATCGACAATTCTTCATTGCAGGAGGAAGCTGCCCGAGAGCAAAAAGCGAGAGAGGAGCAAGCAGCCAATGAAGAATTCGAGAAATGGAAATCACATATCGTTGTTGATACAGAGGGAACCCTTGAGGATACTGAAAAACAGACTCAAGGATTGCTCGTCGATTTTGTAGAATACATCAAGGTAGTTATCCTAACCATCGGAAGTCGGTTGAGTGCCCACAGATATGGACGACCCTGATCGCTTTTAGGCTTTGTTCTGGTGTATGAACTAGATTAATGTGTAGTGTGGGTGTTTTTGGAGGTTAGAAGACTTTAGTTTTGATCATTACATGGTAATGGGCTTACTAACATTTAACTCTAAAATCATGCAGAAACACAAGTGTGTGGCATTGGAGGACCTTGCTGCGGAGTTCAACCTGCGTACCCAGGTCAGTAATACTTTGTCAAGTTTGTTTGTGATGGTACAAGCGTCTTGAACTACTGGTTTAAAGTGGATCACAAGCTATCTGCTTCTATTTTATTATCGCCTATCAATCATGGTTGGTTGGGGTTTGGACGTTTATGAGAACAAGCTGCATGTTTCAAAACCTGCGTGCTCATAGGCGTGAAATTGTGCCCCTGTTCCCTCAAGTATCATTTGTGTGTATTCTTGGCACGTTTAGTCTCCATATGTGTTGTTTGTGATGGTCCATCTTGCAAGTCTATCAAGTAATATTGGTTGGCAATTTCCAATATATCGTGAATTTTGTGTAGGTGAATTTTTCAAATGAGACTAACATTTTGAAGTGATACAGGAGTGCATAAATCGAGTGATGGAGCTAGAACAAATGGGTAAGACTACAAAGCTAGTTATTATTGCTGTCTGCACGGTATCTTTTCAGGGTGTGATGTTGAGCGTGGACCTGAAGTAATGATATTCACCTGCTCGACATCTTTGCATTGTTTTCATTTCAGGTCGTATTTCAGGAGTTATGGATGACAGGGGGAAATTCATTTACATTTCCCCAGAGGAGATGAAGGCGGTGGCTGATTACATCAAGCGTCTTGGTCGTGTTAGCATCGCCCACTTAGCTAGCAAGTCAAATGAATTCATTGACTTGGAGCCGAAGATTCTGGAGACTGACATCATCTCGTGTGCAGAAGAAGTGGGCGAGCCTTCAAAAATTGACAGCGTCGCTCGTCCTATACCTGTAGCTTAAGCAGTGAAACCGCATTGGAAACTATTCTTCAATCATGTAAATACTCAAAGAAGCTGGGATCCGTGCAGTGTTGATGTAAGAAGCTGTAGCCTAGTGTCTTCAACAGAGAGCCGTTCCATTCCTAGCGATGATAAGTGCACGAGATGGTGTTTTTCCTGTACTTAATGCACCTTCGCATTTATGTAACGCCTTGGCTTCAGATGTTCTGCATGTCATGAAGATCATTTTTTACATTCATGTTTTTCATCTGCTTTTGCGTCATTTATCAATATATATATATATATATATATATATATAGCAGAATAGAAGCAATAGTTTAGTGTCTGGGTAGCGCACTGGGAGGATGGGCACAGCTGATTGGAAACCTATGATAAATGCCGAACATATTGGTTATGCATGTAACGTACGGTTGAATCAGACATGTCATGGTCTAACGAAACCGAGTTATCGAATACCATGGCTTGAAGATATCCACTGGTTGGTTCTCGAGGTTAGCAGGGTTCCTAAACATCCAAGTTTGATCAATGGAGACATTTACAGTATCTTGTTACTGATTTCCGCAGAACTGGACCAACGACGCCTAGTTGTATCAGAACCGTTTTCATCCTCGTTTTCCACATTGGATTTCTATATGCGCTCTTGGCATCAATATGAACTGATGAGATCATTATTCTGGCACCTATTTTGTAAAGGTTTTATGCATCTTACCTCATTTTCTTCTGAGAACATGAGGCCATGTGTGACACTCCTGAAATTCCATATGGAGGACCCTTTCTATGAATTTGAAGCATTGTTGTGACGCAACAAGCAATATGATTGTAAAGCATAATCCCAACAAACTTGAAGACATGTTAGGTACTTTTAATGTTGCAACTTATGATGAAGTGAAAGGTGATGAAAAATATTTATATGAGAAGTTGATTCTTATAAGTGAAGAATATTTTTAAGAACATAGATTAAAATAACATCTGTTGCAAATATTGGAAGACTTATGTTGCATTGAAGGTGGAGAATTAGATGCTTTAAAACCAACATCAAACATAAAAAGTCTTAAAATCATGGATTGTATAAATGAGGGATTTTTTGGAGAAGTTTACAAGTCAAAGTGATTGGGACTTGTTTGTGCAGTTAAAAAGATAGATGTTAGGTATGATAAGTTATTTATTAAAGAAGTGAGCATTCTAGCAAGTCTAAGCCATACCAACTTGATTAAGTTTTTTTTTTGCAATGAAAGGTAATGCAAATGAAAGTTGAGAATGTTGGCAACTAAAAAAATAAATAAAACAAAAAAAAATTATTTGGATATGTTATTGATGCAAAGAAGTTAAGCAAGATGGTTGAAAAAAATAGAGAAATATCTTACATTTTTCTTATTGATATTATATATAAAATTGCAAGAGGGATGTATTACTTGCATGACATGCACATTGTACATTGTGATTTGAAGCTTGACAACATTTTGCTTAATGTAGAAGAAAAAAAATCTGAAATAAAATTATTTAACATGCTATTGTAAAAGTGATAGATTTTGGAATGAAAAATTACAAAATATAAACCCTAAACCCTAAAACCTTAATTATCTTATGTATATAAGCATGTTCATATTTAATATCATTGCTACAAAAATTAAAAACCTCACATCTTTAAATACCTTAGATATATTAGGGTGCTGAAGATAGACATTAATTCTGAATAAATTTTGTAAATTTACAACTTTAACTACCTTAGATATGCCAAAATGTTTAAACTTGATTTTATTGTTTAATAAATTAAACAAACTTACACTTTTGATTATCTTTAAATTTTTAAAATATAAGTGTGTGTACATGTATATATGTGTATATATATATATATATAGATATGTGTGTATGTGTGTGTGTATAAATATGTATGTGAAAAATATTTAACTTTTATTAATTTCAAAAATTATTATTATATTAAAAAAAAATTAATACTTTAATGTTAATTTTTATTTTATTTTTTTATGACAAGAGCTATTTTTTTAGTTACATAATCAAAATAATAATTATTTAGTAACAAAAAAAAATTATCAACTTTTTAATTTTAAAAAATATATTTTTGATTTTTTTATTGAAAAAAATTAATAAAAAATTAATGATATATGAATTTTTTTCTTACATGTATAAATGATAGTTTATCTTGATTTTTCAAAATACTTAAAAAATTTTGCCAAATTATGTTATAAAATTATCAAGATTTATTATTAAAAATTTCAATAATAATTTTTTTAGAAGATCTAAATAAATTTAAATATCTTTGTAAATGAATCATGTAATAATATTATTTAAATAAAAATTTAATTTTCAAAATAAAATATATAATTATATAATATAAATATGATTTTTAAGAAATTATAAGAAAATTTAAAGTTTTCATAAAATATAAAAAATTATTTTCTAAATAGTTTTTATATAATTTTATATTGATATTTCTAGATCATATCTTCAAAAACATGATTTACAAATTTTATTTGTATTTGGTTCTAATTTTTTTTACACTTGCAAAATACCATATAAGATTTATATTTTAAATTTAAATCTTAAATTACCAAAGAAATTATATTTTTTTTAATTAAAATTATAGATTTTTCAAATTATTATCTTTTAAATCTTTCTAAGAATAATATGATAAAACTTATATATATATATATATATATATATATATATATATATATATATATATATATATAACAATAAAAATTAAATAAAAGACTATATTTTATTTTATTATTTAAAAAATAAATTTTAACGAGCACTTCAGTTTTTTATATATCTTAATTTCTATTTAAAACTATAATAATATATTTTGAAACATTTTATATATTAATATTATTAGTTTTTTATAATAAAATAATTTAAGTAAAAATTTGAAATATTTTATTTTTTTTCCCCACATAATTATAAATCATCTATTTAAATTTTAAGGATGTGATAGCAAGACATCCCCCTTTTTTTAACAAAATATCCTTTTTTAATATTAAAAACCCTTGAATTTTTTTTTGCATAAAGAGGTTTTTTTTTTTTTTTTTTTTTTTTTTTTTCTTTCTTTCTTTCTTTCTTTCTTTCTTATCAAACATAAATTTCATCTACTAAATTTGCTATCTCTTCTTACTTCACTTTCTTTCCCAATCAGCTTTATCAATATCATCAACTAGATTTTTCACACTAATATCATCTTCTCTTTATGATCTTCACATTTTTTGAGCTTGTGGTTGCTATCTTTATTCCAACATAGATTTGCATTTTTAAATGATTCTTTGGAAGTTTAATACATAAAAGCCCTTTTGGAAAATAATAGATAAAGAATAACACCTTAAAGGGTAAAAAGTTTACAAATTATACATAAGTTGCCACCTACAATATTTGAAAGTACCCTATTTGTAGAGCTTTTCTAACAATTGTATAAAATCCAATAAATGATATTGACAATAACAATTGGGAGTAAGAGCAATATAGATAGGAGTAATAGATTTAGTGATTTAAATTTATATTTGATAAGAAAATAAATCTTATATGCACTTTTATATATAAAATTTTTTAATATTTAAAAAATATAATATTATGTTTAAGAATGATGTCTTACTACTACATTCCAAATTTAAGAAAAATTTAAATAAAAATATAAATAAATGATTTTTTTTTAAACCAACATATATTTTAAAATTTTCTATATTTTTAGATTTTATAGATTAAAAAATTATATCTATAAATTAGAAATTTTAATTTTAATTTTTATAATAATAAATAATATTAATTTAATTTTTATATTAAATGATTAAATATTTGACTCGTAAAAAATCCAAGTTTAATATTTAATAACTATACTTTAAGTTTAAATTCTAACATCCAAAATTTTAACCATAAAAATTGCATCAAAAATTGACCACAAAGTTAAAACAAGCAAAGACCAGAACTATTCATTTACTTGTGTTTTCACCTACAAATACAAAATTAATATTGACTAAAGTAATTTAGACTCTCATTATATATATATATATATATATATATATATATAGATATAAACTTATTTATTTAACTCTAATGGTTGTGTTGGATAGAATATCTTTTTGACCAACTTAAAAACCAAAATTGATATGTAATAACCATGCTTTAAGTTCAAATTTTAGCCTCTCATCTTTTATCACAACTACAATATCAATGGCAAATAAAAGCCACCCTCAACTCACTCTACTTTGCATATGCAAATTTGACTTTATATTAGAATAACACACTTTGGTCTAAAACTCAATCCATCTACTAAAATAACCTTTAGCATCTTCTATACCAATCCAATAATGTTTTTTGATAGCCAACCTTATGGTTGCATATTCTTCTTATTTTTATAACATAAGACAATCTATTCTTTCCAAACATAGTTCTTTATGCTCATTGACATACCTTTTGTCATCAACTTTGCTTATTAATATGATTGCACAAAAGATATTCAATATATTGGTTTATTATAATGAGATGTATTCTACATTGTATATTTGTAAGCTTTGCAATAATATAAATTTATATGACACAACTCATGAGGTTATTGAATTAGAGCTATTTAAAATATCTTTCAAGAAGCTTGTAACTACAAGAGGTTCATTATCTTTACTATAATAAATTTATTATAGTAAAGATATATTAAAAATAATCTAATTTTGGTATTAAGATATTTATAATAAAAATCAATAGTATATCTAATTTTAGAAATTATATCAATTTAAATCAATTTTATTATTATTATTATAAATACTTATAGTTATCAATTATAAAATTCTAATTATTGCTTACAAAAGCCGATTTAGTGAATAGTATCTATATCAATTTACTACAATATATCTACATTGACTTAATTGGCCTTCTAAGTGATACATCATTTTAAGGCTTCTATTTTATAAGACAATCCAAAGATAGATTATTTAAAACATCTTCTCTCTAATTACTACTTCTTTTGATACTCCATACAAACAATGCCATAGAAGAGACAAGCTCAAGTATACTTGGCTTAGCATGTCATTCTTGTAGTTTTGCTGATTTTTTGTGTTATTGGTTCTGCCAATAAATCTTCAAGTGTTTGTTAGAGTTAATAGTATCAAAAATATCACCTTTATTTACTTGGCTTAGCATAGCCATAAAATTAAATAATGTTGCTTGCAAAGAAAAATATTGTGGTTGCTTCTAATAGAATAATAACAAAGATTTTGAAGCTAATTTATTCA